AAGTGATACAAAACAATGAAAGATCTTACAGCACAATTTATGGTAGTATATGCATCTTGCCAATTTCTTTTGGTGTTTTTAAAATTTAAGGAATGATCTAATACCTTGAGATTGCTCACAGTCTCCAGGTGAAGGTGAGGATAGAGACTAATGACAGAAGGTTGTCTGGAGGAGAGATCTGAAGTGAGAGGCTCCAGGTTGTGTGGTGTATGTGTCTGGATGACAAGCGGTGAGGAATCGCTATCTGCTAAGAGGTCCCAGATTTAAGATAGGAAAAACAGTTGTCTCCTCTCTCTACCAACCCTGAAAAGCTGAACCACATAGAAAAAGGAGGCAAGCTAATTTAAAGATGGTAATCTCTAATTGCAATAGAAAATCAGAAAATCAAAAATAAAAGCAGCAAGCAAAATTAAAAAGAAAATAATTACAAAAAGCAAATGAACAAGAAGTCCAACCTGAAAATTTATGCCCATTACCCCAGGTTCACCAGGGGGTCCAGCAATTCCTGGTAACCCCATCTCTCCTTTTTCACCAGCTTCTCCAAGAAGTCCCTGATCTCCAGGGTCTCCCTAAAACAAAGCAAAAAAAAAAAAAAGCATAGTCAAGCTGCTGCTACAGAATTACTTATTCTTGAGAAAAGTGAATTCTGAATCTTCAAGTTTGACAAAAAGCACACTAAAACTGATGGGAATCTTACCAGTCAAATTCCGATCAGGCTACAAGTTAGGGTAAGGCCCTTTATCTCATTCATACACTCCTACAGCCAGATTTTGCCTCACCCATTGCCAGCTACCTGAGGGTGTCCTCTGTGACATCCCCTGCCCTGGCACCTGCCACAGTCCCTAGCACAGCATTGATCCAGTGCAGGGAGTGGGGAAGCCTTGGGCTCGTTCTCTCCAGCATGATAGTCACCATGGAAATAAGCTGTACTCAGTTCTGCAGCTTGCATTTCTCTGTCAAGCCATTCAACTTTGCAGCTCTTGCAGGGTAGGTATGTGCCTAAAAGGCACAAGAAAGCCTATAATACACAGGGCCTCCTGTGTTAAAACTAAGTGCACTCAACAGGGCTCTGTTGATTTGGTGAAACAGGAGAAAAAAAGAGATTTGGGTCCTTAAGCTAATATGACTGCTTTCATCTGCTATAAAAACTGAATGTACCTTTGTGCCATCTTTTCCTTGAATACCGTCTTCTCCTGGAGGTCCTGGTTCACCCTTATTGAAAGGAACAGTTGAAAACAAAGTTACTGCCTAAACTACACAACATAGAAGTATTGCCTTGGGAAAACTCAGACTAGTTTTATACATGCTTATTATCTTGTGGACAATTTTTATGTTGCTGTTATAGTTTATTTGTCTTCATTTTTCACTGATTTACAGTGACAGAGTCACAGCCCTGTGAATCTCGAACAATGGAAAACATAAAAGATGATCATCATTAGAAAAATGAGGCAATAGTATGTCCATATAACACTGGAGATTTGGACAGTAGCACTGAGATTTTTTTTGTTTCGGAGTATACAACATGTAATTACAGTAACCTCAAAAATATATCTATTCTATCCTGAAACTTCCAAGTTTATGTGGATAACTACTATATTGATATGTTTAGTGACTCAGTTTAGGGCCATGAAAAACTCATCATTTACCAACGCTATCAGCACCATGGCATTTTAGAATATTTGCCTTTCTCAGGTAAAGACACTAGCAACTTGCAACTTTTGATGCAGATAGTAAAAAAGCAAATACGAGCTGCCCTATACCAATAACATTGTATTTCAGACATAGTGGTATGGTTAAGTCCAGAGCATCCACTGTGGACCAGTACCAGGAATTAATCTTCTCCAAGGACAGGCAGAATTGTGGAATGCACCTCGCTGGAGATTTTAGGCAGGAGGAAAAGATGACAGCAAGAAGCTAATGGAACAAGAGAGCTCAATGGTAAGACTTAAGTCTGAAAGAATATAGTTTATGCTCTTTTAAAAGTGGCCTGGACAAAATCTGTTCCTAGTACTTTAAAAGTTTTTTTCAGCCTTCAAAGGTAAGCAACACTTTGGGTCAGATAAGGGGGGTAAGACACACAGGAAGAATAAGCAGGGGCACAAGTGCTTGGTGAAATCAAATGCTGAATGAGCCATTCACAGCACCAGAAACAAATCAGCTGCTCTGCTGAGACTATATGTTCCCATTACCTCACCTAGACTGGGTATCCATACACAGCATTATTGTCTGCTGTCATATTAACAGCTGGGCTGGACACCCTTCGATTTTCCTTCATGCTCAAACCACTTGTTCATGTCTCTCAGTGACATGAGACACTTAGAAATATTTCAACATTATAATCCACACTCTTTTTAACTTGCTACAATATTACAATTTTTTTTTTTAAAAAAGGTATCAGAAAATAACTTCTTATTGAATTCTTCTGATAAATCAAAGTTTCTCAACCTGCATTTCTGACACATTCATAGCATACTTTCCTTTTTAGAAGATTTGCATCCATAGCTTACCCTTAGACCTTGGTTGCCTGGTTCTCCAGCCTTCCCAGCAGGTCCAGTGTCTCCCTGGAATATCACAAGAAAAATAAATCATTGGATTTTAAGGGACAACATTCCTAACAATGATGGGGTTTACAGATAATGCAGTCATCATGACAATAACAATATTTCTTAATGGCTCGTTTCCTGTATCACTACCTACTTGGCTAATGAATCAGATCACTCTGATTTGCTTTTATGGAAATTTGAAAATTTAAACAGCACAAGAGAGAATAATTTCAACATTTACCTTTGCACCTGGTTCTCCCTGTAGGCCAGGTTCTCCTTCAGGGCCAGGAGGTCCCTGCATGGTACAAGAGCTACCGTTACACATGGTCACCAATAATAATTTTGCAACCACCAAATAATACAGCCAAAATTGAAGCAGAAAAACAGCATGAGACACTGGGAAAGATGCATGTCTGAAAAATCAAATTAAGACAACACAGTTCTTTGTTCTTACTAGAGCCCAACAGAAGAAAAGAAAAGAGGGTATAGGAGTTCAGCAACTGCACTGTGGATCGGGAATGTATTGAAGACTCAGCAGTACCACTAAGCCTGTACCTTTCATCATAAATTACTAGCAGGCTGAGCAATCACCTATCTTTTGTAAATCTGACTGACAACTTCATCATTGTTTAGGCTTGGAGCCAAGTAGATATAGCCTTTGGAGAACAAAGCCCTTTTTGGAGTCTCCAGCCTTAAAGAGTTAATGATATCAGATTGCTTCTTGTAAGGTTTACATTTAAACCTTTTCTTAATAGTCCGTCAGAAGACTGGATTTTGGGTGACTGAGGAAGAGTGTTTCTTTGAATAAGCCAAATCCCTTCTGTTCTAAGTGAGCTCGTCCCTCAGCTACTTCGTTGTAAATGTGGCTAACACATTCTGTCATATTTCTTTCAGAGAGATATTAAAAACAAAGCAAAAAAATAGAAGCAAAAGTTAGCAAGAAGACTGCCTGCAGCTGCTTTTCTTCATCTACCATTTGCGAGGACATATGATTAATGCTGTTCCACTGTCTAACTGCAAGGAGAATGGTGCTTCCAAAAAAAAAAAAAGTTTGCTCAACTAAACATTCACCTTCTAGGTGCAGATGTCATGAATGTATGCCCGAAGACAGTGCATACAGACAGAAAAAGTTACTTATTTTAGACATTTTTTTTGGTAACATCTTTAAGTAAGAGAGTCTCTCAGCAGCTCATGGTATTTAAGTCAGCTGCAGGTAATAAAAAAATAGTTTCTAAACCCATTGCCCAGGCTTATTCACTTATTGAATGCTTGTAATTACTACATAAATGATAGAAAATCTCACCTCAAAACCCATTTCTCCAATAAGGCCAGCATCCCCCAGCTGTCCTCTTGGACCCTGGCATTAAACAAAATTTTGGATGCATCATTCAATTAACATTAAATTACATTGTATAGTCTTGACTTTGGCATAATTGGCATAAAGAAGTGTATTTCACTGTCTTTCCTCCTGAATCCAACAGTGTTTGTAAGTACCATGATAGCATACAGTACTGAAGACCTCATTGCCAATCTTGACACACTGAAATAACAGATTTCAAATAACAGCACAGATGTCTCTCCTTTCAGATCAAAAGTAAATTATTATCTTAACTAAGCTCTCCTCTTGATTAACTGAGACTTTGTTTAATTAAGGTTTGTTAGACTGTCTGGTTTACTTTGTGGAAAAGGCTACAGTCTGGTATGGAATTAACTGAAAACAGCTACTGTGTGCTTCACTATGGATTTAGCAATGTTTATACAGGACAATCACTGAGGTGTAATGGACTAAAGACTGGAGACTTTTTAGTAATATTAGTAACTATACTATGAGTGTTTTCTTATAAGCCCTATTGTAAGTAATAAATTTACTGCAGTAACGTATAGGGATCATTTCCTAAAGCAGCATGCTCAAATTCTCTGCACATGTTAGAATCATCTCTGCTCACAGAGTGCGATTTATGTACTGGGGAGTAGAGGTTGCCTGTAACAGCTTACAGCTGATTCCATAGCCACTATGAATGTATGTCAAGACAAATCAACCCTCTGGATGTACCCAGTCTTTGAAGTTTCAGAAAGTTCATATCCATTTACCCCTTTGGGACTCATCTGTGTTTAAGTACATTCTAAATTCAAAATATTTTGTTGATCTATTATTCTCATAGAAATAATTATCTCAAAAGAAAGATGCTGCTACCCATATTTATGATAGAAGCCTTTCAAGCAAATATTTACTCTTTTTTTTTTTCACTTCCTTTTACAGACTATGCATGTGGTTTTGCTCCTCCTGATGACTTGGCAGTGATAATGCGAGTATATTCTTCCCTTGTACCAACAATGTAAACTGCATATTACTGAGAGGATTTCAGCAGATGCACATATTTTAGCCTATAGCTTCATTTAAGTGTGAACAACTGAAACTGCAGTTAATTTCTCATTGAGAATTCACTTGGTCCTAAACTGAGTCCATCGGTTTTTGTTTGCAGCAACTCCATGGCATTCCGCTAGGCAAGTGTCACAAAGCTTAAGTTTGATTCACAGTCAAGTATTTCTTCATAATATTACCATGGAGCTAAGTCTGCTGGATTAGTAATGTATGTTTCCGCCGAGACTTTCAGGGAATTTCAGAAGCCAAAATTTTATAGCAATATAGGGGCTCCTTTAAACCATTAACAACAGGTAATTTGCAAAGAAGAATTTTACTGAAATATCTGACAAGTAGGTAAAGTTAAAGTGTAATTTAGATCAAGCCTGTTACTACAGATAGTTCTAATTGCTTACGTTTCTCTGCTCCTCCACCAATAATTAGGGTTTTTCTACTCTGTGCAGAACTAGTGACAGTGCCAGAGAAACGGCTTCAGCAGCTGGCTTCCATGTAGTGACCGCTGACAGAAGATGAACTCAAGCTGCTTGGATGGGCAAAAAGTTAAAAAAAGAGCCACACGTTTCATTTCATAACATCTTGTGTCATTTTCATCACTTCTTTCTAGCTCCACAGACCATTTTCTGAAGACATTTTACTCTCTCAGCACTTGAAAGAAAAGATACCCTGTTCACAGGATAAGCTTTTCTTACTTCTGACATTGCATGTGTAGATTCTGCAATGATGAGCACAACAGAAATGTAGGTTGCTCAAGGGCAGACCACTTAGATTAAAGAAGGCTGATAGTCATTCTATATATGTGAACATTCAGACTTAACCAGAAAATGGCAGGAATTTTATGTATAAGGCTTGCATTGTAAGGCTCTCAGATGTCACAGCATGAAGATTAGATAAAATAAGTCAAAAAGACAAAGTGACAGGAATCCAATAATAACTGTTAGAAAATACATTTTCTGTTGACACATTTTGCCACTCCTACAAGTTGGCAGCTGAAGTTAAGTAGGCAATTATATCCAAAAGAAAATTTACCAAAATAAAACCTGTTGTTAGCTGTTGGTATTTTTCTAGCCCCCAAAAATGTGCAGTGGCTTTCTGTAAGCATGTCAGCCTATGGATTCGTAGAAATAATATTTAAGAATATTAGAAATAATAATAATTAGTAGAAACAATATACTTTATTAACAGTTCACTTTCAAGATTTAAATTAACTATATGTCATTTGATGTGCAAAATAACTTTTCAGAAGCAATGAAAACACACAATTTTTGACAACTAGATTTCTGCACTACAAAATGGCAGCCTTCTCCCAAGTCCCCCTAGGATAGCACACATTCTTTCACTGTATTTATATAATCTGATTTACCCTCAGAGATAGTGATGCAATACTATTCCTGTCACGGCTACACCTTGCAGCACTTTGCATATATTCACTGCAGATCCTGCATGACCTCCTATTACAATAGTAGCCACATAAAAGTGAGTGTGGCTTTGAAATAACAACCATCAGAACAAGAATCCATCCAGCAAAGGAATGTCTGAAGTTTATTATAACAGTCTCTCTTTTGCTGAAAATGTAACCTGCCAAATAGATGTGGTCCGTGAGTTCCTGAATAACTATCCTAAAATTTGCCTGAGAAAAATACCACTAATATCTGTATTGGCACATACATTTACATAATCCATAATGTAGATGTCCACCTCAATACAGCGTAAAGCCACATAATATTGTGGTCCAGATTCTGTCATGCTCTCTTATGTTGTGCACTCCTTACAACAGTGCTTCCCAACATGAATAACAGGTCTCCTTATGAACAAGTTACGCTAAGCAAGGGAGGCAGACTCTAGCTCTGTAGTTTTGGAACAATTACCCCACAATTCCAGCTGGCAACACTGAATCTTAGTAAAATGGAGCATGAGTTACCAGGGAATTCAATATAATATGTGGAAAAATTTTTAAGCAGGCATAAGGATCAACTTACTGTTTCTCCCATTGGTCCCCTGTCTCCTGTGGTTCCGGGAGGCCCAAGCAAACCCTGGAAGATTAAAATAAAATAAAAAATCATTGGAAACAAGCTGTTTCATATTCTGTGAAAAGCCACTTCCTCTGTTATTTCTGCTCACTCAATAACTTGCTCAGAAATACCCAAGAAATATGTGCAGCCTTTTCTTCTGGTTAACATGCATTGCCACATCACTAGCTCCTGTGGCAGGTGAGGGAGCCCTGAATAAATCCTTCCTCAGTTTCTTTTACATAGGGATGGATCTTAGCTGATCCACCATTTACTAGTTCCTCATCATTCTTTTTAGACTCATGTGCTGCTTGTGTGCGCAAACCGGGCCTAAACACAATGTTATGAGTGTCCTGCCCTACAAACTGTATTTGAGATGATCAGTAAGGTTCACAGCCCATTTTTCTTTCTGCTCAACCTGTATCATAGCATATCCCTTCCAGAAACTGTAGCTGTAGGAGTAATAGAGCAGTATCTTGTACTCTGCAATAAATGTACTAATTCCCATCATTTCAACCTAATGAGGTTTTGCTTCATTCACTTCTGTATATATAAATACATTTAAAAGTCCTAGTGAATGAAGAGGAAATGAAAACCCATCGTGTGAAAGATGAGAGGCAAAAAGCTCCTAAAACTGAGCAGAAGAGCCAACCAACATTTTGAGTCTCAATTTCAGCACAAAATCACCACCATTACTGCTTTGTTTCTGCTTTTCTGCTTCCTTCCTTATTGAAAATCCAATACAATTTGGACTGACTGGTAACCTTCTTTGTAAAAGAAAGCCTCAAACAGAACATGTTAGATTTCCATTGAAAGAAGACCTAAAAGGAAGAATTTTCTCCTATATACGTGATACACATTTTACACATTTTTCTAAATTTATCCCAACATTGATAGTACATATCTACTCTAAAATCTACCAAAGAATTATTTTTCTACGTCACAATGACCTTCTCCCTTAAAACTACAAAAAAACTAAAAAAAGATAAAGCAACATCTAAGACCCCCCTATTAACTACAATCACCATTTCTTCTGCTGCCATTTGCTATCATACTGTATTCTGTGGATGATCACCCATGAAAACACTTGCCTTGTAGCAGACTAGACCATGTTCATACTTACTCTCACTTCTGCTCCTGATTCTTTGTATGAATAAATGCAAACCGTACTATCAGAGTTTTCCAGCTGCTCTAAAGTAGACAAATTCCCTTATATCTGAGTGTGAAACAAAGTATAAGATTTTGTGGGGATTTTTTGGTAGAAGTACTAGAAAATTTCATACTCACAAGTGTACCCTGATCTCCTCTTTCTCCTGGATTTCCAGCTTTACCCTGGTCAAAGAGAAATATTGAAAGACAATGCTGGCTTCAGATTATTTCCAAACACAGCTCAGAAATTAGCAGTAACTGTGTTAAGGCTTACTACAAAGATTGGCTCCAATACTTACAATGAGCCCAGGAACTCCTTTCTTTCCTGGATCTCCTCTTTCTCCCTGATAAACAACCAACAATCTGTGAATTCTATGTGCAGTTGCTAGATAAGCTGCATACAGTTGCTGTCAGTTTAAATGCTGGGTAACTCTGCAGGAAGTGCAGATTCAGGCTTAGATGGGCTTATACCATAATAAGGAAGTACCTGAAGAAGGCAGAAATTTGCAAATCTCCTCCTAGATTAAATGGATATTTATGGCTTCTGACATGCTGGGTTGTTCGTTTGTTTTCTTTTCTTGTCTGTTATGGTCTATTTAAATGTTTTGTATAGTACCGAGCAATGCAAGCACTCACCTTAATGCCTTGTGTTCCTGGTTCTCCTAGAGGACCGTCTAGACCTCTTGGGCCCTGAATATTGAACAAGTGATTTGTAATATTAATTATGCATTATTTTTGGTTATCATCAGAGAGATGCAATATAAGCTTTAGGAGAGGAGAAACATGTTTTGTTAGCACAAAAACCAATTTTCATTTTTTTCATATTTCATACGTTAAGTATGAAATAAAGCTTCAAAGAATAAAATAAGTTTCTGGTTTGCTGAAATATGAATTTAAGAAGAAAAATTTTCTGGAAAGTATGTAAAGAAAATGTTCAAGATCTCTGTTGGAGCCAGCTTGCAGGCTGACAGTCTCTGCTCTCTTTTCTATCCACTTTGTATGAATGCAACAGACACATATTTAGAATAATTTAGATGAGCACTGGCTGTATGGAGTGCTTGCTTTTGAGCGTATTGTAAGTTGTATATGCAAAAATCCAGCTTGCTAGTAAGACTCTAAAACAGGCAGATAAAGTTCTTCCATTAGTAAATCAGTTTGAGGCAAAATTAATTTATCATCTTGCATAGTGAACTGCTCTATTGTTACACTAAAATGTCTCATAAATTGACTTTTTATAACCAATAGATGAACAAAGATAACCTGTTATATTATTGTATTACAATATAGCAAATATTTATTGCCAAAACATTCAAAAATGATTATTTAAGATTAGAAATCTAAATCCATTAGTTTACAAGCAAATGAAAAATCCTTAAAACAGAACATGATCAAAATGGAAAAGAATATTTTATCCACACTGATTTAGGAGGTTATTTCCATAATTCTAAATACCATGACTGTTTGGGTATGGAAAATAAAATTAAAATCAGTTAATAACAACCTAAAACCACTTTAAAGCAAGAGCTAGATAAGGATCAAGACAGAGCCAGGCTCTTTAAAGCAGTATGCAGTGGGAGGATGAGACACAACAGCTTTCCTGGTGGCATCAGAGGGAACTAGTACACTGCTGTAGCAGCGCCTAGGGGAAAACAATCTGCATTTTCAGAGTGCATTTCTGAGTTGTAGAGAACCTTACATCTTGGATCATGGTTTATAGTGCAGGGCATGCAATCATGACTGATTTCCAGAGAGTTGTAATACTGTTCTAATAAGTAATAATAGGGGCTTGTAAAACGATTTTGTTGGAAGTACATCTGATTTTATTTAGATTACTTTCCCCTCAAAAATGTCTGTGACTTCCGTGTCCCTCTTTAATGTTTTGAGACAAAACATAGCAGAATGCTGTTCTCTCTGACTTGGATTTACTGATGCACATCAAAATCTCTGTCAGAACAGATGGTAAGCACCGACCCGCTTCTCTCTGGAGCTATAGTGAAAGAAATGTCTGACTGGTAACTCAGGAACAGTGTATATCCAGAATCATTTAGGCTTTTCTTCTGAAACAGAAATCTCTCAAGAAAAGGCCTTTCCTGGGAGCTGATATATAATTACAAGCCCTGGCAGAGCCAGAAATATCCCACGAGAAGCTTATCCGTCACCATTTCAGCACTGCTGCTTCTGGCCAGCACGAGGGAACACAGAAACCATAGGAGAAGGAAAACAAACAGGCAGGGAAAACTGTCTGTATACTTTTGATACCTCGGTAGTTTGGGACACAGCTTTTGCGAGGCAATCCTTGGGTTAGCCTGGCCACCCTTCTTGTTTTGGTCTAAGCCAGGACTGAGTATTTACAGGCATTTTTTTAAGCTAGAGGAGAAAAGAGGCTACAGAAGAAGACACTCCGCGTTGCTGCATGGCTCTCAGTGAAAAAGGTTCCAAACCAAAGGCTACTGAATTCTGTGGAAAAAACTCCTGGTGACCTCAATGCACTCAGATCAGAATCAAAACACTAATGGTGTTTTCAAGGGAGATGGAGGCCTTTATAAGAACAACAAGACTAGGCCTCACATTAAGATTATGTAACTGTGTAAGCCCAATGACTGAATTATTATATAGCATAATTTAAAAGAAAGCTAAACATCTTGATCAAACTAATGTCAGATTACTGCCCTGCACTTTTTCTGTAACTGCTATCTATAATGTGTACAAAATAGGTTGTGATGAAAATTCAAGGCAGACTAAGCAGGTTTAGATTCCCATGATCTGATATTCCATGATCTGATATGCCTCGAAGAACGCAAGGAGAAGGGAGAGGAGGAAACCTTGAGATGGAGTGAAGACAGGTCATTAAGCAGGGGGGGTAGAAGGGTAGAGAAGCTCACGGAAGAACTGCAGAGGAATCCCGAAGGGCAACATAGGAGGGAGAAATTGAGAGTGTTAAGCTGAGCAACTGCAGGATAGTTTTAGTGTTTCTCAGACTTTTTAGATACGTGACCTGTCATTTGTCTTTGTGCATCCTCCACAGGGCTGATCAGGGGATAGAATCTCAAGATGAAATATTCAAGGAGGAAAAAGGACACATTTTGATTGTACAGATTTGTGTAATACAGAAATGTCTTTCTAAGTTTTATCTTCTATTATTAATAATATTAACAGATAAATTCTTTGAACACTTGTGAACTCCTTTTAATCATAACAACGCTACAGGCTTGGGGAAGAGTGG